ACACGCGGAGGTCAAATCCACGTAATTGAATAAACAAAATGAGTACTACGTAGGCTAACAGAAAAAGTGCAGGATAGCAGACGACGTCCTTCAGCATTTAAAGTGTGAGCGCGAGTTTGTGATCGAGTCGCGACTTGGTGTGCATCGATTGCTTCGCCATTTGAAAATCACCGACCTGTGACTGGCAGCTGATTGTCAAATTGCGAGTGCAATTAATGCAAAATATTGTGCGCCTATTTATCTTTCACAAATTATGCATCACAGAGCAGGTCTCTTTTATTCTGTCAAATCGCCTTTGCGCGCTTGAGAGATATTGAGATTAAAATTTCGGGAATAACTCCGTTGATAGCTCTCAAATTCAGCAATTCTTAATCGCCTGTTAAATGTGGGTTTTTTTCATATTAGCTAAATTACGCGGCAGTACAAATCTTTTAACAATGTCAAAAGCTGGTTCATTCATTCCCTCTCCTCCTCCACCTCCCTTCCCCTCGTGATTTCAGTAGTGACCACTTAAAGCCAATTCATGAGTGAATATCTCACGTATCGAGAAATAACTCGGGTTTAAGACTTCGTCGAACCCATCCCACTGTGTAAGGTGCTTACAGTTCAAAAAAGATTTCTAATCGTTATTTTCTTTTCAAACAGGAGGGTAACATTGCACAATAACTCACATTATGCACTTCGACTAAAGGAAGGGTTAGGCAAACTTTCAATACCTTCTGCAAACACACACAACCCTCGTATACTAAACAGGAGTGATGATACGACAAACGCGTTGAGACTAACATCCACCAGGAAGAGGACCTAGTACTGCTCTAGACGCTGATGCAGCTCCCTGGAGTACAGCGCAGGTTTCATCACACATTCCGAGTAATGAAAGTCATCTCAACAGCAAAAGACTTCGGCTACAGTACACAATTTCACCCTTAACAAACCACCGTGCACCACACAGAAACGTGGCCCTGCAGAGGTTTACCACCTGTCGGATACGAAGACGTAGTTTGTGCACTAACTAAAATAATATGTGCAGACTGCCGATGAGGTTAGCATTGGAGGCAGGGTTGAAAAGGAAGATGGGACTTCGCAAAACGTGTTTGCTCAAATGAATACTTTGGGCGATAAGCGACTGGTAAACTCGTATTTCACTACGCATTGGATGTTATCTGCCCTCTAAGAGGGTGAGTACTCTGGACAGACATAACCTTGTTCACTGTGCTCTATTTACAATGCCATTATTCATGACCAGTCCACACGTTTGAAAGGCTTAAGAGACGAGAAAGACACCGTATTGCCTGCAACATTACATAGGTGGTCGTAGCATTGGCATGAAGGAAGGATGGAGGTCTAGACGCAGGAATGCATGTATGTGTAGAAGAGAAGCGCAAGCTGTGCAGTCTAATGAGCCATAGTAACGAAGTCAAACGACGGAATAAATCTCTGCGGATTTTACATGAAATTTATCATACATTTGATGCGTGAAAGCTACATTCAAACACGTAATGCATGAATGCATTCAACAATAGTCATGCTTCTCGAATTTTTATGCTCTGCGTTTTCCATATTATAGTGAGTTAAAGTAATGTGACACTGTGACTCCTTGAATTGTAGGATGGACATCGGTCCATGCTAGCAGCGTTCCAGAACTTTTACATGTCAGTAATATGTGATATGCCACAGAGTTTCGTCTCATCATGTATTCAGAGAGGGCTAAAGAGGTTCACTTGTTCTTAAAGCAAATGCGCGACGCCATTGCTTATAAATAATGGAAACTATTCAAAAGACAAACGCAAATGTCAATTTAGTAAAAAAATATATTAAAATCAGCAAATTTTTCTCTGTGCAAAAAGGTTTCAGCGTTTAAATTAGGTTTTAAGGGCTCTAAAGGAAATCTGATAATAAGGTTGCTTTCAGCAAGATAGCTTTACATGCTTTTTAAAAAAATAATTTATTGCTGCAAAAATTTTCAGTGGAATTTATTCATTTTAAATCCTTTGAAAAATGGCTTTTTTCCCGCATTAAATTACCCATGAGCATACCTGGCGGCATATATGAAGGTTCTGCCTTGGTGTTGGGTTGGTAGGTGGGGCTTGTTTGCCGTTTGTATTGATGTGCCTAGGGTTTTGATTAATAGTAGGAGATTTTAG